TATGGATTGTCATATATGGGATTTCCTTCGGTGTTAGAGGGTTATTCGGATGCTAGTTGGATAAATAATGCTGAAGATTCATCCTCTACAAGTGGATGGGCGTTCTTGCTTGGGGGAGGTGCCATCTCATGGGCTTCTAAGAAGCAAACATGTATAACTGGTTCCACAATGGAATCTGAGTTTGTAGCATTAGCTGCTGCTGGTAAAGAAGCAGAATGGCTAAGGAACTTGGTATATGAGATTTCGATATGGCCTAAACCGATATCACCAATTTCTATCCGTTGTGATAGTACTGCCACATTGGCTAAAGCTTATAGTCAAATATACAATGGAAAGTCTAGACATTTGGGTGTTAGACATAGTATGATTAGGGAATTAATCATGGATGGGATGATATCTATTGAGTTTGTTCGGTCGCAACAAAACTTAGCTGACCACTTGACGAAAGGGTTAGCTAGAGACTTAGTGAAGAAGTCGGTAATTGGAATGAGATTAAAGTCCATTTAAATTTATTAGCTGTGGTATACCCAATTCCCTTCTAATACAACGTTAGAAGCAAAATTCAATGTGGAAAGATCATAGTTAGAGATTGGAGCAATTGTGTTTATCTTCCCAAGGTATGTGCTCAAACCTGCAAGTGATGGCTAGGTTGAAGTATATCTTCTTAATGGTTCTTTTGGAAAATTGCAAATGCAGGAGCAAGATTAAAAGGATCACCTATGTGAGCATGAAGTTTTGCCGCTTCAAGAAGCTTGGACTTGGCTTCCTATATGCTTATTAATGGATAAGGACACATGGCTTGTAAAGTGTCAAGTATGAATAGTAGAGTATTGTAAGAAACATATGTGTACTATATCTTCAGATATTCAAATGGATTGACGGGTTCAAACGCTATGACACCCCAATTTTCGAGTATTTGAAATGTGTACTTGTACTAAGATGAAAATTCAATCGTAAGACATTTTCATCTATGCATTTGTTTGATTGGTATACCTGTGTGTTATACCCTTGTATATATTATTGTATATATGGAGGAAATCAAGGATTACACTAAAATGGAGGGGGGGGGGATTTGTTGGTGATTTTAGTATCATCAATGTATTTTAGTAGTAATGTGATTTATTGTAGGCCGATACAATTATGCGTTAAGCTTGGAAACGAGTTAGGATAGTGCGGAGTGCACGCTCATCGAGGCAACGTGTAATTGAATGCGAATAATTAAAAAGGGGTTCCAAGGGGCGAAGCCCCTGGCGGGGTGCGGGGCAGCGCCCCGTGGGGTTCCCAGGGGCAGAGCCCCTGGCTGGACGAGTTTAATTAATATGTATTTACAATATAAAATCATTTTATATCGTTAATCAATCTTTATGTATTCCATCACATTAGACTGTAAATTTTAAATTAACTATATAACATAACAGATTAATAGATTAATATATTTATATTGAAAATGCATACCAATTAAACTTAAAAAAATTTACTTCATACCCCTACAGTTATACTAATACCTCTATATTTTTTAAAATAACAATTTTACCCTTATTTATTTTTTATTATTTTATTTTTTACATTTTACTATTCATGTGAGGCATCCGGTAAAAAGTAGACGAAACAAAAATTTCCGGAAGACTTCAATCAAGACTTCCGATATGTTAAAAATCTCTTCCAGAAGACATGAGCAAAGAGTTCTGGTTTACAAAAAAGCATACACTGAAAGACTAACCAAAAGAGTTCCGGTTTGCTACAAACCTATACCGAAACACTTTTTGGAAGTCATCCGGTTTGTTACTTACATGTACCTGATCACATTTTTTAAGATATCCAGTTAATTAAAATTACATACCAGAAGTCTTTTCTAAAGTGATCCAGTTTGCTTTGTTTAATTTATTTTTAATTATTTTATTTTATTTTTTTATTTTTAATTTTTTATAGTTCAAATATGGAAATTCCTCCAAAAATATGTGTGGATACTTCTGATATTTTTTCAACTACTCAAAAATTTGTTACACGAGAAGAGGTGATAAGGTGGATTAAAGAGATTGGAATCTGAAATAAAGTAACTGTTATCATCACTCGTTCAGATACTGAAACAGGTAAGAGAGGAAGAAGTAACAAATTAATATTTGGTTGTGATAAAGGTGAGAAACACAAGGATACTGATAGTGGTACCCAAATTGCAACGGAAAAATGTGGATGTCCATTTAAAATTAGGTCAACTCCGACAAAAGATGGGTCTGGATGGAAGGTTATGTAAAATGCGGAGTTCATAACCATAATTTACCTGATAGATTAGAAGGTCATTCCTTTGTTGGTAGGTTGACCACAGATCAGAAGCAACATGTTACTGATTTGACAAAGAGACATATTCCACCTAGACACATATTACTTTCCTTGAAAGAGCAAGATCCAGAGAATGTCACTCGAATCACGCAAATATATAAGCGTAAGATTATGATAGAAAAAGAGATAAGAGGTACTAGAAGTGATATACAACATTTATTTAAGCTTATTGAGGATACATGTTATATTTATTGGAGTAGAAAAAGAGATGACTCTGAAGTTATTAGAGATATATTTTTGGCCCATCCAGATTCAGTTAAGTTGTTGAATATTTTTCCTATTGTGTTAATTATGGACAACACCTACAAGACAAACACATATAGGCAACCTCTGTTTGAAATTGTTGGCATGACATCAATCGAGTTTACTTTTTCTGTCGCATTAACGAATATGGAATCTGAACAAATTGAGACTTTTTGTTGGGTGTTAGATAAGCTTAAAGAATTGTTTGTGAAGAAAGATTTGTGTCCACAAGTGATTGTGACAGATAGAGATCTTGTTTTGATGAAAGCAATTGAAAATGTGTTTCCAAGGTCGAAAAAATTGCTATATCGATTTCACATTAAAAAAAATATTGGTGCAAAATGCAAGCAATATGTGGTTAGTGACGTGCAAAAGAAGATCGATGACTCATGCATGGAAGTTGTTTGGGCCAGTGATGAGGTTGAGTATGATCAACGACTACAACAAGTTGAGCAGGCATGTGTTGATTATAATGAATTTCTTACTTATGTGAAAGACACATGGTTGACACCATATAGACAAAGATTTATTGGAGCATGGATTAATCGAGTGCTACATTTGGGTAACATCACGACTAATCGGTATGCATCTTTTTATTAATATTTTTTACTATGTATTTATTTTTAGTATTTTTTAATTGTATATTTTTTATTTGTATCTTTTTAAGTCTTTTTACTATGTATTATTTTTAGGGTTGAGTCTGCTCATTGGAAGTTAAAGCAGATGGTGGAGAATAGTATAGGTGACATGGTCAAATGTTGGGAGGCTATGAATAACAACTTAAAGTTACAAGTGGGCAACATTAGATCTTCTTTTCAAAAGAGTTTTTATGAAGTTAAGCACGTCCACGTAAGTCCATTTTACAATAATTTACGTGGTTAAGTGTCTCGAGCTGCATTGAGACACACTGCTGAAGAGTTAACACGAGTTGATTACATTGAAACTAACAACTAAATATGTCGTTATACTCTTAGAACAACCTATGGATTACCTTGTGCTTGTGAGTTGATAGGATATAGAATTGGTGGTATACCGATACCAATAAATGTTGTGCATGTTCATTGGAGGAAATTAAGTATGGAAGTTAAGTTGGAGGAAGACATAGATGATGGATCAAAGGTGGATATGAGTAGTGCAATAGATGAGTTATGGAAAAGGTTTAGGTCACTAGATGTTGTTGGGAAAAGGGCATTAAGAATTAGGGTTTTTGAACTTACCTTCCCCACAATGACTTATTTATCTCCACCACCTGAGAAAATAAAAACCAAAGAGGGAGTCAAGAAGAAAGGCAAAAAACCAGTAGGGTATGATGTTTATATGGACCCTTCGTATCATGAGTATGTTGATCAAGCATCTCAATCTTCACAAAGACAATCTTAACCATCACAAACTTCGAAGAAGTTGAAATTATCACAATCTTCACAGAAGAAATCTCAACCCACACAGGCTTCAAAGAAATTGAAATTATCACAATCTTCACAGTCATCTAAACATTTCATCCTTCAGTTTCCTAATCACATCAGGTCATATATTGATGATGTAGTTAATGTTGTATCAGATGGTAATTATGGATTTAGATTCATTGCTTCATTGCATGGATATGGTGAAGATGGTTGGTCAATGGTTCGTCGAGACTTGGGGTTGGAAATAATACATAATGAAAGATCAAGTTTGTATGCCAATTTATTTACTGATCAGTTAGCAGAAGTGAGAGAATCTTTGATAATAGAGGCATTTGGTCCTCAACCATCATAGAAATGGCTGACTCTACCAGATATGGGTTACTTGATAGCAAATCGTTATAACATTGTACTTGTCTATTTAGGATTTGAATGCTGGATTTTCTTCCGTATGACAACTTCATTTTCACCAAATGTATCCTTTTACTGCATTGGTTTTGTAAACACAAATCATTGGGTTCAGGTACTTAGTTATTTTTAGTTAATGTGACTAACCTAATTTCTTAGTTATTTTTACTTAACGTTTTGATTTTTTTTATTCAGATAAACATGAAAGATGGGTTTCCATTGCCACCAGTGACAGTAGATTGGAAGAAGTTTTGTTCTCCAGCAGCAACATCTTGGATTCTAGGATTTGCAGGACGTCTACAACATTGGCAACACCTTACGCCTATATTACCAACACATTATGAATTATAAATTATGTTATTCATTTTTAATTTCAAAACATGAATAATGAATTATATTATTCATTTTTAATTTCAAAACATGAATCATGAATTATGTTATTCATTTTTAATTTCAATAACACATAATTGGATTCAAAACTAAACATAAGTCTACAAGTCAACTCATAAACATATCTCAACTAGGTCAAGTGAGTCTAAAAATTAATAAATAAACATAAACATAAGTCAATAAGTCTAAAAGTTAACACATAAAAATAAACATAAATATAAGTCAATGTGAACGAGAAATACGTAAAGCTTCAAATAAATCAGCAAACTGTGGATCATCCTCTTCGGCATCAACCTGTCGGAGATAACGATGAATCAATGTCGAAACACGAGCCCAACTAAGATCAAATGGTCTTGCATCGTAAAGAGAAACCCATATCTCTCTTGGCGTATCATAACGGGGCGGTATCAAACGAGGATGTGAAACACGGTAATACCACTCAAGATATCCATAATCTATCTCAGATGGGGTGGTGGTCAGTGATGTCGGACGAATCACAGTAAAGACACTGTGATGGTAACCAATCCAATCAACATCAATATCATCAGCCATCATGTAATCAGGAGGTGGGGGTGGAGTATATTGCTTGTATCCAAATTGATGTATACATCTTTCAGGAAAATATAGAACAATGACGTCACCCCATTTCCGACATCCCCTATACAGACATATCTCATCAAATTGACACCATACTCTATGATCCTCGAACGGCTGCCAGATGATGTCAGCAGGTGTCATCTCGTCCAAAACAGGTCGCAACTCATCCACCTTCAGGACTCCTTGCTTATAGGACCATCTTATCGCTCGAGGGAGACCACAATTTTGCGCTGGTATCCAATTCTCTCCCCTTTTCCAAGTGTTGGAAAATACTTGTGAATCCAGCACTGTTACAAAATTAATAATATTAATTAACTAAATAAATTTATTCATAACATAATAAAATAAAATATATGAAATTTATATACTAAATAAAATTAATTAAAATATAATAACCTAAATTAAAATAAATACCTATAGAAGAGTAGGATAACCACCAAGATGCTTGCAACTGAACATAGAAGCATCTCCAAGATGATTGTAAAGGGTAACCAACACAGCAACTCCCCAATTGTATCCTGATAATCTGTCTAAGTCCGTAAATAGTAGGAGGTATCGGGACTCGACAAGCGTAAAGGTCTTGTCGGCAAAAATTATGGAACCCACCAACATCAGCAAATACGCTCTGGTCGTATATTCCCATCTAGAAGCAGCTCTGTGGTCTTTGAATAAATCCTATAATCACTCCATCTTATAGTAAGAACCCCTGCAATGACGGACATGTTCTTGCGCCTTATACTGTAACACTGTTAAGTAATCAACAGCAAGTCCAACAGCAGTCGCTTCTGTGATATGTTGTGGGGGCCAGAACACTCCCCTGATGGGCAAGTGAAGCAGACAAAAGACGTCATCCAGAGTAATGCTCATCTCACCAAACGACATGTGAAATGAAGATGTCTTTATATACCATCTCTCCATAAATGCGAAAACCAGGTTTGTGTCTACCTTCATCAAACTGGTTCTCTAGAGTGAAGATAGACCAGACTTAGAAATCCAACACTCCATGTCTCTTGGAAGTTGTTGTGGAACCCTCGCTACAAGCTTTAGCCTATGTCCAGCAACCTTCAGCTCTTTCTTCGAGCCTCTCTCCTGAAAACAATTAAAAGTACGAATATTATAAAACACAACATTAAAAATTCAAATATTATTCAATATCAAATACATGTGGTTTACTTACCTCACCAAACCATACATGTCTGGCAATATGCTGCTCGTATCTAACCAACAGAGATGTATCGTAAGGCCCTCTTGGATAGCCAACCGGCGGTGTTGCGGATGCGGATGCACTAATATGCTCTTCTTCATCAACAAATCTCGATGAAGTATCCCGTTCTAAAGCACCCCCTGATATCCTAACGCCTCGTGTTCGCACCACTGAAAAAAAATAAACAAACAAAAAAAAGTAAGTGAAAAATAAACAAACAAAAAAAAAGTAAAAAAGAAAAGTAACATGAAACAATACCGGAACACATCTCAAATGAGTTCCGGAAGTCAACAAGCACAATACCGGAAGTCATTTCATAACTCTTCCGGAATGCAATTAAAATTGAACCGGAACACATTTGAGAAGTCTTCCGGTACACACTTTAACAAACCGGAAGACTCTTAAAATGAGTTCCGGTGAACAAATTAAAATATTTCAATCCGTAACTCTTACTTTATCTGTTCCGGAGATGAAATGTGAACCAGATGTCTTTGCTGAAGTGTTCCGGAGAATAAAATGTAAACCGAATGTCTTTGCTGAAGTGTTCCAGTTTGGAAAGTATATTTTGTGATTTCCGAAAGTCTTTAGACAGCATAAATAGAAAGTATAAGGATTCTGAAATATATATCTATTTATATAAGAGTATTTTGGTTCAAATTTTGTGTGCGTAAAGATATGAGATAAAATTTTCTTAAACTTATACTTTATTTTCTTACATTTAATAATGTTAACCTACTCCAAATCATTTGTATTTTAATTTTATAGAGTCAATTTGCACAATCACATGTTTTTTCTTCGTGCTAAATAAACTCTAATAATTTTTATTTTTATTTTCTTTAATTTAAATTCACTTTTAAGTATTATATAAATATCAATCCGTTCTCTCTAAAACATATGATTAGTCAAACACATTTAAGTTTGCCAAATAACTTTTTTTTCCTTTTTCTAAAATTGTTTTTAAAAGCTATCATCAAACACAATCTTTTTAAAATTCTCTTCTTAAAAATACTTTTTAAAACTAATTTATAAAATAGATTTTAAAAACTAAAAATAAAAAGTCTGGGCCCTAACTTTTTAATTTACTAAACATTACCATAAACAATAAAAAGATTAATACTCAATCAATTAGACATTTAAAGACACATATTATTAATAGTTAAAAATAAAAATAAAATGATTTTACATTGTCAATCAATGACATATAATATATATTTTATTAAATTATATTTATATTTTAAAATTAATATAAATTACATTAATAATAACAAAGAGCATTAAGAACCAAAGCAATTGAATAATAATTATAATGTTAAAACATTCAAATAACAACAAACAATCATATAATTCAAATGAGTAAAATTAAATTCATCTTCTAAGACCCAATCAAGAAAAATCTAGATACTCATATTTAAATAATGAAATACCATGAGTTTAAATGAAAAAAACATGAAAATTTAGGGAGAATAATGTCTTTAATGACTCAAAAACTCTCTAAAATCGCACTTGAAAACTCATGGTCGCCACTTTCTATCATAAAAATCATAACCCTTGCAAATGTTTCCTTTTCTTCTTTTAAAGAACTAAAAAGGTGTCAAAATGTAAGTATCATGCACACGATGCTCCAAATCGTGCACACATTACTTTTCTAGCTCACAGTCATGCACACGATGCATTATATAATGCACACGATGCCTTTTTCTTTTCTCATCGTCTACATAGTGGCCACACAATCCTCACACGATTTTTCCAATAGCTTTTTGTTTATTCTTTTTGCTTGTAAATTTGTACTTTTTCATCTATGTTCCTTTATTCTTCACTTGATCAAATATTGGTCAGTTCTTCTCCAATTTCCTCTTGATTAACTAAAAAACATATCAAATTAATGACAAATGCTTATCAAGTTTACGTAAGGACAGAGTGTCAACACAACCCCAAACTTGTTATGTTTCTTGTCCTCGAGGAACTAGCTCATACTTGTGAATTTACTAAGATCTTTGCACATACCAAACTAACTATATACACAAATCATCACAAAATCTTTCAGAAATAAAAAATCATCGACTCTAACAATACATATTCAAGAACTCCATATGGATATGTGATAGAACGACCAGCTAAGGTTATATTCATCTGAGTCATCTTCAGCAGCGACATTAGATTAAAGTTAGCTCATAAGCCACACAAAGAATGGTCAATAGTTAGTGAACCAATAGAATGGAGAATAGTAAACTACCTGGATCAGTGAGTTTGGGCGGAATCTTTCGTTGAATGATTGTGCTACATTCTTCTTCTTGAGAAATACTCTTATCATACTTTAATTTACAGTTTCTCGATAAGAGCTTCTTCATGAATTTGACATAAACCGACATCTGTTAGAGAGCTTATCATAATGGAATGTTAACTTGTATTTTTGCCAGCATATCCATGAACTTTTTGAATTAAATCACTTCCATTTCCTTCTTTGGTTTCTTTTTCAAGACCGTCTAAGGTGGTTTGATGTAGTCAGGTAGCTCTGGGTTAGTTTCATTCAGGATTTGTTTCTTCGTCCTCCTCAAAGGTGATTTTCTATCTATGATTTTTTCAAGGGTGTATCCTCTAACTTCCTCTTCGCTAGTTTCCTCAGTTTTTTCTCCCTCTGATTTTTCCTTATTCTCTTTTTCAACTACTGCCTCTTTTTTGCTCTTTTTCTTACCCTTACTGCTAACCTTTTTGTTTGAAGGTACCACTATATTTCTCAACTTAATTATTTTTTAATTCTCATTTTTCGGGTTATCTATAGTGTTACCAATAAATCCCTCTCATGAAATAGCTTGTGCTACCACTTGCGAAGATAATTGACCGATTTTCATATCTAAATGTTTTATTTGCTCATGGTATCTTGACTTTCTTCCATCTCCCTCTAGGTCTTAAACATTTTTTCTTGACTCTTCCCAACTTATTCAAAACTCGTTTGAGTGGCTTCATGAAGTTGCCCAAAGCTTACTCGAGTGGCGATGGTTTCCTTTGTGGAGCTTTAAGAACCTGTGGAATTCCTTGAGTTGCACTCAAAGTCTGATTATTGATCCACTTGAAATTTGGGTATTCTTTCCTAATAGGATTGTAGGTGTTATAATAAGGATTATTTTTCTTAAAGTTTTCATATTGAGCTTAAGTACTAACTCCCTCTCATACACAGTTTCCATTTGCATGTCCTTCCCACATAGAAATCACACATTAGTGCCTGAACCTGAATCACATTTGCTTGACCAAGTGTGACTGCAACTAGTTATTTTGAAATAACCTCAAGTTGATCCAACACTATGGTATTATAATCTATTTCTAGAAGACCCTTGGATTTCACAATTCGATCACTTGAGCGATACTTATTTTACCTCATCTTACTTATTAATGAATGTCTAACTAAAGCATTTAGAAGCATTCTTGTAGGAGTTTTTAGACCTCTAATAAAATGTGTCATATGTTCCATAACACTCATATTATGATTAGGACATTTTTAGAGTAACATCTTGAATCTATTCCATGCGTCAGATAATGACTCATAATCACCTTGATCGAAGTTTGAAATTTCAGTTTCCTCTCTATAAATTGAGCATTAGAGAAACACATCTCTGGAAATTTATCTTCCAATTCCTTCTAAGTTTGGATTATACTGTTGGGTATGTGTTGCAATCAATCCTTAACTTGACCTATTAAAGAAAAAACAAACAGTTAAAATTTAACCTAATTGTCGGTTACTTCTTTCAACTTTCATATCAAATAAGTCTCATAAAATTTATCTAGATACTCCCAAAGATCTCTGATAGATTTCCCGTTGAAAGTGTTATCTCGCAAACCTGAAAGTGCATAATTTTTATATCAAAAGTTACAAGGTAAGTTGGTTGAAAACCTAACGGTATCTTTCTAGCATCAGTCCTCTTGCAATAATCATCCATCATTTATTGTGGTGGATTAACCATCTCTTCTTCCAGTTATTACTTATCTCGCAATGCTTCTCTTTTTTCCTTCTGATTTGCTTGTGTTGTTATTTTTATTTATGAATCAAGCAATATCGATGTCGAATTTGAACCTCGCATAAACAAACAAACAATACCTCGACAACACTACACAAAACAAAACCTAATAAGAGTGGTAGGTACAAATACAAATTAGAATAACAAGTAAAACAAAATAGAAATTTAAAAATTTAAAAATATCACACAAAAATTGCCTTGTTGATATTATTAACAATCCCCAACAACAACGCCAAAAACCTGATGACTTAGCAAATGTACTAATTGAGTTAAAGTAGTAAAATAAAGATCGTTTCCACAGGGATTGCAAATTTTAACAAGGTTGTAATTGTGCTTTTGAAAGTAAACGCGGTGGATTTTCATAATGGTTTTGCAGAAAAATAATTAAGTTAATAAAATTGGATAAAATTTCAGATAATGAGAAAGCGATTAGATCTTAGTTGAATCCCTTAGTTTTCCCTTGTTGATGATTGTACATTACTTGAATAGAATTGATTTATAATTTTACAACAAATTAACAGTACCGTTATACCCAACTCCTTGGTGTACAACTCACTAATTTAGACAACAACTCTTTAATTCCTTAGGAGAATTCGAAGTAAAATAAGGTGTTCTATGTGCATTAACACCCTAGCCACAACTTATAATTACCTATTCCTAGTTAATTA